TTTTAGTTATCACTTATGCCAGCCTTGGCGATTTGCGCCATCATATACGAAAGCAATTCATCAAAATAACATGGAATTATCGCATACAATTGCTGCATGATATTTGTTCTGATCTTTATGCTATTCATTCACAGGGTATTATACATGGTGACCTGCATCCTGGAAATATTCTTCGATTAAATGAAGATGAAGCTACAATCTGTGATTTGGGTGCTGCAATCAGACAAAATTCTACTAAGGTAAAACGCCAAATGTCTGGCGTGATGCCATTCGTTGCACCCGAGATTTTCCGAGGAGCGGAGTTCAGTGTGGCATCAGATGTCTATGCATTAGGAATGGTTATGTGGGAATGGTGTGTTGGTAAACCTCCATTCGGTAAACGTCCTTTCGACGGTGAATTGGCCTTAGCTATATGCGATGGACTGCGTCCAGAATTACCAGAGGGATTACCTGACTTTTACCGAGACTTGATTGAACGCTGTTGGCATCAAAATCCCTCACAAAGACCAACTTCTAAAGAGATGTGCGATATCGTTGAAAAATGGCATCTAGACAAAACTACAGAAATGGAAAAACAAATATACGCCACCGAGAAGTTTAGAATTGCAAACGCATCCAATTATGATTCCGAAGAAAGTTATATGACGCATCCCTTGGCCGTTTATACGAGCAAAATTTTACCGAATGTGAATCAGGAAGGTTTGTATTTTTAATGTTTGTATGATCTAGTCCTATTAAAGCTAATAAATTATGTCAAGTAGTCCGGAAAAACAAAGGAAATGAAAATATATCAGAATATCAAACACTTCAATATGATTACAATCTCGGAAATCCCGATGATGAATATTAATGACTTGTAAAATCGAGACCGGTTTGACTTTATGATTATTGGACCATAGCGTTCCGCCACAAAAGCGAAGCCGCATTTAATTTTGTTCAAATTGTGGTTCGAATCATAGTTTGGAGTCATAGTCTATTAACAAACGAATGCATCCCATTTTTCGTATTTCGTGTTTTCGTGTAGAATTTTTTTAACATTATTACATGTTTTTTAATTTCGTTATTTTTTAAATTTCGTTACATATATATTGAGCAATCTAGAATATATCCAATTAATGTTTGGAATGTTATCTTTTGTGTTGGTCTTTACCAGCCATCTAAGTAATATCTTTGCGCTTCTTAGCACAGAAACGATTTATGTCTACACCTCATTATCACTGCATATAACACAATTGTATAACAATTATCTCATTTGTTTTACTATATCGCTATCATTTTAACGTATTTATTGTTATGCCTTAATTTAAAATGATAATTAGGAGTGTTGGACTGAATAATTTACAATTAATGGGTTCTTTAAAGTTCTAAAGATTTCCTATGACGATTTGCACGTAAATCAACTTTAACCAACGAAAACGGAAATAATAAAATAGATTTCGCGAAGGTTTGCTAATAACCAACAACAAAAGACTAACTGACAGGACTTATTGACGCAGCCTGGAAACAATGCTTTGAAGATGTTTTTAGATAACCAAAAACTGACGGATTTAAAAGCAAATGTAGGACTTAATTTCTGCCAACAATTTAATAGAAAATTCGAAGCATGGATTGTTTATAGTGGAATTCCTCCACTATTTGTACGGCAGACAAGCTTTGAAGTTTATCAATGGAAAAATAAGTAACAAATAAAGGTAAGTGTAATTTTATTTATTATTTATTAAGATAATACTTTTTGTTAAGAAGTTTCTTCTTTTATATTTTTTTCTCGGCATGATTTCAAACGTCCTGACCAAATCACCAACAACTATCTCATAATCACAAAAGAAAATACATTGTCAGATCCAGATAAAATTACAATAGAAATACAAGAGAAAATATGAACCCTCCGTAAAAGGAAATTTAAACCATTCAGCCTAAAGCGCCGCCCTTCGTTACTGCCGTAATTCGTTAGTCAACCTTTACTTTCGAATTGTGTATAATATTACAATCCAATATCCAAATCTTTCTATATAAGAGATCGTTACATAGAGCTTTGACTGTAAAAAGTATGTACCCCGCGTCAGTTGGGAATCGAAAATAATTTTGAAGTAAAAACTCGACTGATGTAAACTGCATTTGAGTAGTTTTTGTGGGAATACTTTGGTACGCCATTACGCGATTGCATCTTCACTTACTTTCTGGTTTTAGTTTAAGACATTCTTTGATTTCTTCATCTGTAACATTGAAAATATAAAGTACATGTATTTGATTCTCATTATTACAGTATAGTCACTATCGTATATTGGGTCGATAAATAATCACGTTTCTTAAAATTGGTCTGTTTTCCAAATAGGTCCCAAAATAAACTTTACATCAACCAAGTACTTAATTTGATAGCGTGTTGTCTGACACAAGATCTGTATCATAACTTCGCTCCGCTCACTGAATTTCATTCATCAGTCTCAATATCTGCTGCTTTAAAAGATGACTTTCCAATAAATACTACTGAACTTATATCAGGGATTATTCAGAAAATTTTATAAAATGTGATTGGATCGATATATGAACATAAAAGTTTGAAATGCGAATATTGAGTCTGTGCATGGTTCGTGATCACATACATAAAATAAAAAAAATGCAAAAATGGAAGTCAAAATCTAATAAAATGTCAAGAGACAATATTACATATAATCTCTGTCTTACCGCTAATCTTAATCTCAACCTTAACTCCGAAAAAAACTTGATTTGCTAGTTTAAAACTATGTTCTACGTGAGCTACTGCACATTAAATGAGATGCGGTCTATTTTGTCACATGATTAAAAGGATCGAGGATTTCTAAAATTAGGACCGGATGGGATCCTATTAAAATAGAACTCTAAATATTTTTAATCAAATGGAATATATAATATTGAATGATATCAAAATTAATCAATCAAATGGAATATATAATATTGAATGATATCAAAATTAATCAATTGGAACACTGGCTGGTAAGGTATAGAGTTTGGAACCGGATTTATTTTAATATTGAATTCGAATACAATCCGGTTTATATTCAAATTTTTAATATTAAAAATAAATCCAAACTCTTGTAAGATATTCTCAGTTTTGTAAGAAAAATCATCATTTTAAATAAATAGCAATTTTTGGATGCGATTCTCTCGAAGTGAAGTACTAAATGGTATCGAAATCATTCGATTTATTCCCAGAGATAGAATGTTGGATTGCATGTGTTTGTGCTCGTGATATATACGTACTCGGAGTTCTTATTAGGTAACAATAAAAAACTAAACCAATTTGTGTGAAAGATTGCACACCACGCACCGCGCACTGTGAAAGAAAACTGCATTTCTCTCGACTCATCAATAGCTAATCCAGAGTACGACTAGATCGGGTATATCGGTATAATAGAACAGTATGAAATACGTAACGGTAGATAAACTCATGATTTGTCATTTGTCACTTGAATTTATAATAAAAATGTCAATACCGAATATACATACATATGTATAGTTAAAGTATCTTCATATACAATAATGATTTATAAATTGCGTTCAGTTATTTTTTCGTTTGTGATCAATCATGTCAAACTAAATTATTTCTATACGTTAGTATTTTTTTTAAAATATTGATTTAATTGATTTGTTTAAGAGGATATATGGTATTTGGGCAAAGCTTTTGCGCTTAAAAAGATTTTTCATTTAACTTAGCCTTAGATTGGTCGTTCATTTGAATTCATATTCTGCGCATTAGAAACGACATCAGGAATTTCAGTGGTTTGATAATAAAATAATTTGAAACTCCCTTACTCCCAATTAACACAAATAAAATTAAAAATACATGTAAGCATACGATAGGAATATTATTCAAACCGTTAAACTATAGTAGAGATCCTTGTGAAATGATCACAGCATATTGTATTCAACGAGGTCGATCAAACGGTTTCTTTATTTATCGCACAATAAAACCCACGGTGTGTACAGTCAATGAGACGTTAACAAATCTCGTACATGATAATGCTATAGCGATTTTTAATTATTGTAATATACGTTAATTAATATCGCGATTATAGAGACAAAAACATAACGACAAATAATTTCTAAACTCCTAAAAACAATGATACAACTCTAATTAATAGGATAGCGATAAAGGGGAGAATTCTAAAAAATCCTGTTATTCCTCTTATCGTTATCATTGTGCAAGAGCATCCCATCAAACTGCTCGCTTATCTTCTTGTCCAACCTACCATCAAAGGAAATATCCGGACGAGATAATGTGTTGGTGTTCCGATGTGCAGCATGCATCAATAAACTTTGAAATAATCGTTAAAATAAAACATTACATGTAATTAATGTCAATTAAAAGTGCGGTACTTATCAAATTACTTTTGACAGATGTAGGTGTGTGTTATCTTACTTTTACCAACCAAAGTTAAATCTATTTACTGTCACAGTTTAACATAAAAAATATAAAATTCCCGCTTGTCATTTATCTACTGTTTATTTACATGACCGATAACCTTTGCAGCAAATAAGTTTATTATTCTACCTTCTTTAGCTTCTTTTTGATCATTCCCATATTCTCAATAACCACCACACTTTCCTTTTATTCTCTATCATTTGTTCATTTTCTTTTAAAATGTTTTTTTTGATTCATTTTTAAAAAAAGAGCCCTCATTTTTAATAACGATATCTGAATTTAACACGTAATAGTAACAACAATCTATTCAAAAAACAATAATTTATTTATTTATTTATTAAGTATATTTTTCATGGAAACTTGGTTACTGTTTCTCTGCTGCGTAGTCACAATATTTTGCTTTCAAAATATATATGTTCAAATAAAGCGGAAAGGATTCGTATTGATATGCTACAGCGTCGCCAACACACTTGTCTCTCTTTCCTTCGTCATTACCGGCCTATTTCTTTCCGATGATCCCAACTTACCTAATAATGTAACAAGTCCGATTTCGTGGTCAGGTTTTATTTGTGCAATTAGTGGGGTTTTATTATCGGCAAATATGATAGCGAATTACACAATTGCTCTCGCGTTGTCTATTGAACTTTTCACGACGTTACGAATAAACCAGCGAGCGGCACGCGCAAGCACGACGGTGAAAAGACTCTACTATTTCTTATGCATCATTCTGCCGTACTGTGCAGTTCTGGCCGGAATAGTCATTTTGAAGGTGAATGGTGATCGAGTGTTTGATAGTTCATCTGGAACAGGTGCTTGCACTATTGCTAGACATGGAACAAATAAAATTGCATTATTCATGGTGCTAACTCTACCGGAAAACTTGCCGATTTATCCGGCAGCTGTTCTCTCGGGTAAAATTTCAAGGAAATTTTACTGATGTTTCTTTTAGTGCATGAATTCCGATTAATTAGATCTTTCATCATTTAGCTCTAGCATTAATTCCAGTTAGCAAACAAGTCTTTAAAACACGTCAATTCACATCGTCTATCGACACGTATGCGAAACAGCCAACACGTGTCACGGCACGAGTAACAAGAGGCGGTCCACCTCCGGTTTCTCATTCAAATCACAAAACGGTAATTCCAAAAAACGTACTAATACGAATGGGGCTCTGGTGTGCTCTTTTGATCATCTCAGGGGTACCTTCATGCACCATCCTACTCACCCACTCTATAGAATATTTGACAACACCAAACGAAGATCCAGATACCGCAATGCGCTTAATTCATATTCTTCCTAACGACGGGAGTTTTTTCGAGGAAAATGAGATTGAATTAAAACTGCTTTTATCAATTATATTATTCTTAATTTGTTTTGGTACCGGAAAATTCGCGTTTGAGCAATACGAAGAATTATGGCAAAAAATAATCAAACTTATTTTTCGGAATCCATTTACGATTTTGAGAAAGTATAGAAAAGGTTCATCACGTGGCGGCGGGCATACTATTGAGAATAATGTTGCAACACGCAAACCGTTGAGAAATATCTCTTACCGAACTGCTACATTTCGAACCTCGCTGAATACTTCATCACCAACGCCTGCTACGTATGTTCGACTGCAGTCGAATACTCCTCCAGATCTTGGATTTCCACAAACTGATTACTTTTTAAATATACCGAATTTGAATGGTGACGAATTTGAAGAAGACATTCTTAGCAAAAAATTCGAGCCGACAATTGAAACGCCGTCGCACATTTCAATACCTGATTCAGCTTTGACTAAAAAATGTCAATATCTTTAATATATTTGATATATATAATCGGACAATTTATCTTAGCATTCTATATTATCCAGCACACCACATTCGCATATTGTAAATATTATTCTCCTTTTTTTTAAAACTATTAACATACATATCTCATAAACGATAAGATAGAGAGAAAGCAAGAAACATGAAAAAAATTTTCTAAGCTTCTTTTTTTTTGTAAATTTACTAATGTTTTTTATTTTGAATTCGGCTTTGATTAAGACGGACGAAAGCGTACGTGCTTTTCGATCAACTATACTATTACCATATTTGTACAACAACTTTTGAATAATGTAATTTAATTTAATTATATAAATAAATATCTTGTATTACATACATGTCGGAAAAACTATGATCAAATGTCCAGTGTGAACGTTTTACGAGAAAAAAACTTGATTCTTCTTATCAGTGGTGAGAATACTAGTTTTTTTTTGCAATCCCTTAACTTATTTGGCAACCATTTGCAAAAAATTTGACATCACATGCTTATCGAAATCGTAAATATAGGATGATTCTCTGATTCTCTTTTATTTTCCTTACGGAATACATGTACATGTATATGGGGACAATTTGACATTGACATCATCCTGCCTTTTGAAGTTCTAATTGGTTTTTCTTTGAGCATTAATAATTTATACATGTATGTTTTATAATTGGTGGCTTGTATGTTAACAAGATGTACCTGCAGTTCGATAATCAAACTTGTATTATCCCATATCTTTGATGTGAAAGGAATTCTGTATCGTTATCTGTTATGGCACAAATTATGTATCGGTATGCAAATTATTTAACATTATCTGATTAATTATTATGATAAACTTTACACACTCATTTATACTTGGGGGGGGGGGGGATGAATGAATCAAGCAATCACCCTTTATTGGGTAGGAGATCCCGCTTATGAATAACGATAAGGCTTAATACAAATTTATTCATGTACACTCAAAAGTCTGCAATCGGGAAATGATCAGCAATGTAGATCGCGAAATTTGTGATACTTTAATTTTATATTACCGTTACTCGACCTCTTCATAAATATATTACAATAAAAAATATATCATTTTATTCAGTAAAAGTAGGGCTTTTTATGCATATAATTAATATCGGATTGGATACCCATTAACATCAATTACAGCTTGTACTCTTCTCGGCATACTTTCAACCAAATTTCTTGGATGTGTACGAATTCGTCTTTCCAAAACATCCCACAAATGCTCAATTAGATTTAGATCAGGGCTCTGGGCAGGCCATGGAAGTGAAGTGATTAAATTTTCCTCTTTCCATTGACTGGCTGCACCATATCTGTGGACTGGCGCATTATCATCTTGAAAAAGATGAATAGAACTACCTGACAAATCATTTAGAAATGGCAGAAGATTTTGTTCCATTATTTTTATATACTTTTGACCGGTTATTCCACCTTTAACTTCGATTAATGGTCCACATGAATTTTGAGTAAAAACATCCCCACACCATTATTCCCTGATTGCCTGATTTCATACTAAGAAGAAGACAATCCACATCGTATTTTTCATGTGGTCGGCGGCAAACCCATTGCCGGGAATCATTTCGGAATATTAGGTATCTTGATTCATCACTCCACTAATCCAATCTTTTCTTTCTGAGCACCATTTTAATCATTTTTGACGGTTTTCCTCAGATACAAAAGGTTTTCTAGCCTCAGCCCGACCATAAAACCCATATTCATGAAGAGTACGTCGTATAGTACCGGAACTAACAGTTACAGTCATAGCAGTATTGAATTTTTTGGTAATTTCGTCAACTGCTTGTTGTCGATCATCTTTAGCAACATTAAGTAACCTTAGAGTAGCTCTATCATCTAATTTTTGTGGTCTACCGCTCCGGGCGGCAACTGTAGTTTGGCCAAACTCTTTGTATTTATTAATAATAGTATGAACAGTAGATTTGGGTCGTCCTAGAGTATCTCCAATCTTTTTTTTCAGACAAATCACACTTCCAAGCGCCGATGATCTCACCGCGCTCAAAATCTGTAAATTCGTAACTTTGACGAGTATTGGTTGGATTTGACATCGGTTTTTTTATTTTATTTTCCTTGTCTCACAAATAGACGTTTGATTGCAGACTTTTGACCACCAAGTGTACATGTATTACATGTATGAAAAGCGAAAATTTTACCCGAATAGCACTTCAGTTTCATTTCTTTTATGTCTAACAAAATTGATAGCTTTACATGTATTTCTTTTGCCATAAAATTCTTTGATTGTTTGATTGTCTAGTCGAAATGACATAATATTCATTGATTTTCTCTATTTTGATTTCTTTTCCTAAGATCAAGTTTTTATTTTTTGAAAAATCAATGTTTCTCAAATCAATGAATAAATTACATGTATATTATGAAAAGGATCAAATTACCTTAGAGAATCTTCAGGTAAGCTTTTGCATGAATTTTTTATTACAATGCTGTGAAATGGCTCAGGCTGTCTTATTTAGTTTCTTGTATATATGCATTTTTTTCTTGATTATTATGAGCTTATAGTCTCTCAGACAGTGTTAAATTTTTTGTTTTCCTTGTTCCTTTTGTATTTGGCAAGAGACCATTATACTCTTACCAGGTCACATCACATTTTCCTTGCAACTTGCTTGGCACTCATAACTTTAATAAAAAATCATTATTTTTATCATTGTCAAAGATAGCCAACTAGTACGACAGGTATCATATTTACACCTAAAAAAATTTTCGCCTAGTGTATGTTTAAAGTAATAATAGATAAACAATAATGATAACAAAAAGTGGGAAAACGCGACGCATATATTTACTCATGTTGTTACACATGCAAATCAGGCGTTACTCTTTACCCATGATTACTCAATTTCCATGAAAAATTGGCATAGGAGACCTTTAGGACCTTAGCGATACCGCCACTTTGCGTAAATCATTCAGCCTAGCTTGTTGCGTCTTCAAACACTAGTCAACCTAACTTTGAGTTGACAATGTCAATAAAAATCATTCATACTCGATAGCAACCAAATAATGAATGTAAAAAAATCTATCTCTGCACTTAGCATATTTTATCCAATAGTAATTACACTAATTATAATCGTAATATCGTTATTATTCATAAATTTATTTATTATTATAATAGCGATAGCAGCGATCTTAGTGTACATAAGTTAAATAATTCAATTATATATGGTTGCTATTGGTTCATGGAATCCATAATGTGCCTTTATGCATGAACAAGTATCATGCGCAGTGAATAATCTTGTCTTGGAATGGAAGTGTGGTATCAACGTCATTATTGTTGGGTGTTAAAGGGCATCGAATTTAAAAAAAGTAAATTCTCTATTATAAATCATTTCTTACGAATTATTTCTAATATGTTGTTTCACTCAACTCCGAAGTTAGAATTGAAGATGCAACAACCGTCGTGAGCTAGACTGAATGATATACGCAAAGTGAGTTATCACTTAGTCTAAAGGTCCCCTATGTCAATCTTCCATGTTAATTATGCAATCGAGTGTAAATATAAGGTATAAGTAAAAATTTAAATTCAAGAAGACTTAACACAATTGCCAAAAATATATATTTATTTCAAGACAATAATAGAAATCACAATCAAAAGATAACCAAGAATCAAAGCAGATGCATCAGCTTTTTATGGCAAAAAAAAATAAAGCCTTCGATTTTGTTAAACACAAAAGAATAAAAGTTATCGATTTTGTTGGCACAAAGGAACAAAACTATCAATTTCGAAGAAATAAAAATCGAAGCACTGTTTCGGTAAGAACAATCTTATTCTCCAAACCACACATTGCCTGTCTCTCAGACCTTTGCGAGCTATCAATCATAATTACATGTAATAGGTTCATTAACACACAAAGTGTGAAATTTAGTAAGAATCTTAGCAAAAAGAATGTCAATATTATAAATAAAAGAATTTAATGAATTCAATAAAATTGTTATGTTCAAGGATTACAAAATTTAAATACGATAATTCAAAGCAACAATGCTATATAAAAACTACGTACTATTCCTAATTATCTTTATATACGTTCGCAAATACCCGATGCAATTGAAAACAATGAATATAAATTTTGATAGGATCCCATGGAATAAATGGATTTAATCTTAGGTTAAATTCGGCCAATATGGGTAGAATTTAGGCAGACTTTTCCGCCAACTATGTAAACGAACGAATTCGTACCTTGTCTGCGAAAAGATTAAATAGTAATATTATGTAGGTTTTGCATTAGCTCATCAGCTAGCATTGTCACTACGGAGTATCATTGACTATATCATTATATCCGCCGTTGGGGGTGCCGGCTGAGCTGATTACCGGTGGATTTATTTTATTAAGCTACGAGTTCAATAAAACAAAAATTCTCGGAGCAAAAAGTTATGATAGTAATAAATGGTGGCACATGCGGTATTCCAGTTATTATATACATAGTCAAGCTTTATAAGATAAACCAGGCTGGCTAAAAAGTTTATTTTATAGAGAAAATTTTATTATAGAGGTTAATTTATTATTCTTTGGGGGCAAATAAAGGTTTATCTTAGACTAGTTTTATCTTATAGTGGCTTTACCTCATAGAGGTTGACTGTGTAGACGCAATCTGCCTTTTTATTGAATATTTTATGACGCAGGTTTTGGAAGAGATAAATACATGTACATGTAATTTTAAAAAAATATGGTGAATTAGTTTGTAATAATTTATCCTGTAATAGGAAAATAAAAAATGAATTGTGAAGAATAAAATCAATTATGCTTTAAAGCTCTAATTCATATAACTGTCTTTACTTGTTTATAAAACCGAACCGTTATCACGTAAAATTGATTGATGATTAAGTATTTGATCTAGAAAAGTATGTTATCGTTATTTGATAAACGATTGTTAGAATTTATCTATAAAAAGCATGGTTTCGAATTGGTTATTGTTAAAGAAGATAATAATTAAACTAAAGACTCATAATTACCTGCATTCTGTTAAATTCTCCTCATCGAATTATATAATTCGTCACCAACAACGATATCTGTCAATATAGGCACATTTTAAACTCTCCCTAAACACGAAAACCGTAACAAATTCTTTCAATATCAATATCATCAACAATGTCCAATCATCATGATTTAATTAATGCGGCGCTCACAGCTGTAATGGACGGCCAAAAATTCGTTTCAGAAAAAGAATTTCGTGAAATGCAAAACTGCAATAAATTTAGCGGTAGCCGATTTCAAAAGATCGACGACTTTGACTCATTTCATCAATCCAATCTTGTTGGTATGCCGATTTCATATCAAAACGAGCAAACTAAACGAAATGGGATGATACTTTCTATCAATGGAATTAAAGTCATAGGAAATGACATCACCACCATATCTGAGTTAAGACAGAAGCTTCAGGACAAGGATGGTATTCTGCCGAATAAACTAAGTATAGTTTTTGCTGGTCGAAAATTGGGAACAACACTTTTAGCACACAATGTTAAAAATGAAAATACACTTTTAACATACAATATTAAACATGAAAATACACTACATCTTATAGTGAGACTTCCTGGTGGTGGTTGCGTATTCAATTATATGCCTTCTTCTTTATTGGACCCACAATTCGATTACGATTTTACAAATATTGATGATGGTGAGAATCAATATACGCGTGGCGGTATTCCGTATCGAAGACCATGTGGATGGCAACGCTTTGCAATAAAGGTTACCGGGAAGTATGGTGATGATGATAAATGGCTTGGAACTGATGAAAATTCCTGGCCGGTGTCATATCATGGTACTGCAAAGCATAATGCGAGAAAAATTTGTGAGGAAGGTTATTTATTGAGTAAAGGGAAGCGTTTTCTTTTCGGTCGTGGTATTTACTCGACGCCTGATGTGAACATAGCTAAAGACTATGCGACGGAATTTGAGTTTGAGGGAAAGAAATATATTATGATATTTCAGAATCGAGTGAATCCAATGAATTTAGTGAAAATTGAAGAACATAATTACTGGATTTCCAAGGAAGACAAAGATGTCAGACCATATGGAATTTGTATCAAAAGAATATAATGCCTTATAAATATGAGGGAAGATCATCCAATATATATAAATATAGTATTAAAAATACAATAAAAATAGGTTAACTTTTTTAAAGATCATTTTTTTCGACTATTATCATATGATTAGATTTTACAGATATTCCAAAAATATAGTCACATAAAAAACGAAACACGAAATACCTGGTTCCTATACTCATTTTATTTTAAAGCTAATAACAGGAGAATGTCTAAAAAGTGCCTAAAAAATATGCAATTCTAAAGAAATTAAGTGATCTACATGAATTTTTTACTCAGTAACTCCAAATAGTTTTATTATTTTATTATCAGGGAGAATTAACCTAATAATTAATATACTTCTTGATAAGAACTAATTTACATATATTTCAGTTAAATTGGTGTCAAATTCATTTAATTATTAATATTTCTTTATTAGCATTAATACATCAAGAACTAATAATTAAACGAATTATCAATTTAGCTAAAAATTGGATATGTAGACAATTCTCATAAGAGCACATTATTATTAGGCTATTCTTCTTCAATCCTCCCTGATTATAAAACTTTTTGGAGTTAAAATTTCATTAATTAAAAATATTTATGTAGATAACTTAATTTCTTTAGGATGGATCTTTTAGATATTCTCTAGATTATTAGCTTTAAAATGAGTATAGGAGCCAGGTACATTTAATCGATGTTAGAAGCACTAGAATTTTTTTCGTGAAAATTTTCGTGCCTCATTTCTTATATGCCCTACTGTATTATCTGAGATTTCTAAAATGAAGCTGTTATTTTGGAATCTAATATCTCAAAATCCAATAATTCCATTTAAATGAATTAGATTTAGTTTCATTTACAATTTTAAATTTTTATAAATCCAAATTTCTGAAAAAACTCCTATTTATTAAATTCACATTAATTCAAAAAAAGAATATAAAGAACAGTAAAGAACAGATAAACATTTTCTGGACTTTATTTCTTGTATCATATGTACTGACTTTTATATACTGTTACATCCGATTCAAAAGTTAGGTTGACTAAAGAATTGAGTATTTAATAAAGGTCGGAAGCTAAATTGAATAATATATACAGTGTGGTTATTTCTAAGGTTTCTAAAGATATCCTATGCCAATTTTACATAGAGATTAGGCAATCGAAAGTAAAGAAATTCAAGGCCAATGGTAAAGTATAAAGATATATGATTCAATTTAAAAATAATAATGAATTAGTAATAAAATATAATTGCAATTCAAAAAATGAATAACTCAAATAACATTTAAACTATATCATAAAAATTTGTTTATCTCGTAAGAATAAAAAATCAAAATCAAATAATCCAAAAATTACATAATAAGAATACGCATCAACTTTATATGGCAAAAGAAATAAAAGCTGAGACATAGTTAGGTAAGAGCTAAAATAAATTTAATTAATTGTTTTTATTCATATCACACATTTGTCTCTCAGACCATGAGAGATGCCCTTTTTATACAATTTGGTTATTATATAACTATCTAAATAACAGATGAAATTTCACAGGTCTAAAGAATTTTTACAAAATAAGTAAGGTTTCAAGATAAAAGATATTGACAAAATTTAAAATAAAACAAAATAACAAATTCTTCTGTATGGATCAAAAAAATAGCAGCATGAAATTTTTAATGGCAATCAAAATCTTGGGATTGCAAAGAAAGAATTTTTGTAAAAATTCTTATTATTGAGAAAATCAGTGTTAACGTTAATATTACAAAATAAGAATAAACACTACATGTAATTTAATTAGTATACAGGGAACCTGAATATAACGAAATTTGATTATAACGAAGTTTTTTTTGATGTCCCGAATTCTTCTTTAATAAAATTTCCTGGATATAATGAAGTTAATTAGGAAAACCTGATCACTGGCTATAACGAAGTTTTAAATCTGTCAACTAATAAGAATATAACGAAGTTTTTTGATAACGAACTTCATTATATTATAGTAAAGTTCGTTCATATTTAAGTCTAATCTCGTACATTTGTATTGATTATGATTAAAGATGATGCGACAAGACTTGTTAAGAACAAACGTCGTGCATTTAAAGGTATCGAAAAAAAAAGAAATCTGCCAAATAAAAAAGATAATCCTTCAATTAGAATAGCCGATTTATGAAACAGCTCGGATGCGCTGTACCAACAGTCATTGAAATTTTGTCGAATGACGATTTTTGGCTTAATGTTGAAGAGAATTCCACCACTAGCACATTTAAAAGAAGAAATCAAAAATAATTTTCCAAATATAGAAGGGGCGTTGAGTCTTTGGGTAGAAAATGCAGTCAGTGATAAAGTAATAATCATCTTTAAGTAAATAGAGTCAATAAAGTTTTTAAATCTTGCCTGAATTTCAACATTTTTCAATAATAAATTTGTACCATTCGGGAATATTATTTTGCTATCATTTTATAATATTTATATAAGATAAATATCATGACTCTTAGTTGTTTCCCTGTTATAATTTTATTCAAAAACCATAAACCAACTGCATTATTTATGATGAGTTTTCATTTAGCACCTCGGGCAAGTGCAAATAAAAAATCATATATCTATTATAAAATTAATATTTGTAATGTAAAGACTGATAAAATTCAAATTTTTGTTTTAAAATATACTTCGATTGCAAGATACTATACGATAGAGTAATGATGGATATCACAATTCCTAATTGGCTGCCATAACTATGTAATACTTATTTGTCACCAGTTTTTACTAAGTCAATTCAAAATTTACTAATTGCAAGTATATAATAATTATTTGTCATCTTATTAAGAATATCATCATTACTATAGAGCAACCTGCAAAGTTTTTATATTAATATTTTAAATTATAACAAAGAAAAAATGGGCAAAGTTAAATTAGAAATTGCTTTAAAAAGGAATAAATAAAATTAGAGAAATTAATATTACTTTTGCTCAAATAATAAATTTAATGGATGAAATTTAATATCCAACTCTTAACATAATACTTTTATTATTTCACTTTTATTCTTGTATTTGATTAAATAAAAGAATTACTAAGTCTATATAATATCTAGTATTTGTTAATAAATTAAAGATTCTATATCTAAATATTAAAAAAGTATTCTTAATAAATATTTATATTATCTTTTAAGAAGAGTTTAAAATATACTATTAGAAATAATAGAAATAATAACAAATTTTATTAGTACTCCAGCAAAAACTGAAATAAATTATTTTTAATAATAATAATATTTAAATTAATTATCAAGTAATAATAATTTGAATAATATAAACAAGTAAAATATATATATATATTGATTTTGTTATTTACAAGATCATAATATTCTCATATAATGGAGTATACATCAAAAAAATATTTAAATTTAGCAGGATTAACTCAAAAACTTCAATATTATCTGAACTGTTATTTTTCTAATATGAATAATATTCTAATAAAAAAAGAAATTGATTAGATTCAAATATAATATATAATATATTTTTATTAAAATTAATTTGGATTTTATTTATCTAGACTAGAATAGTAATTTATAAATTTTGAATAATAAAACTTATAATATTGTAATTAAAATATAAATATAAATAAATAAATATATATATATATATATATACACCCTCCTGCCAAAAGTATCCATCACTTTGTGATCAGCAAATAAAATTCTGTCCCATAGCCTACATTCAAAATAGGATATCTCACCTTACATCTAACTTAATTCAAGTGCTTTTTTTTCCTGAGCAAATAAAAACTATAGCTTCCAAAAATTATAAACTCACTTTGTAGTTTTCTTTACTAGATTTTATAAAAAATGTTTAAGTCTTGTGAATGCTTGGATTTTGAATGTGGAATGATTATCAGACTTCACAAGAGCAAGCATAATACTACAGATATTCAAAAAATACTCAGAATATTCAGAACTACTTGTATTGATATCATTAACAAATTCAAAAATGATGAGGTGACCAACTCTCTTCCTCATACAGGAAGATTATCTCTTTTGACTGACCGTGAAGAGCATACTCTTGTATGAGTAACCAAAGATAATAAGAAAGAATTACTTGAAGAGATTACTGAGCTGTTTAACAGCTTAGATCTTACTCAGATTAGTACTTATACTGCTAGATGTATACTTTATAATCATAACTTTTTTAATCATATTGGAAAGAAAAAGCTCTTTATTTCTGAGAATAACAGAATAAAATGCTTAAAATGGTATTGTGAATATAAAGATTGGGATAAACAATAGGATACAATCATTTAGAGTAATGAATCTCAGTTTCTTTTATTTGAAAATAATGATCAATAATGGGTTTGGCATAGATCTCATGAGAAATATGATATAAATTATCTAATACTTACAGTAAAAAGTAATGAAGAAGGGGTAATAGTCTGAAGTTGTTTTGTTAAAAATTAACTTGGATCTTTAGTAGTATTAGAAGATAATATTATAGATCAAGTCTATAAAAAACTTTTAAAAGATCATTTAATCCCTTTTATTGAAAGCCTAGATGATAAAAAAATTATAGCTTTCAAAATAATAATGCTTCTGTTCATAGAGCTAACTTAGTACTTGACTGGAAAGATGAAAATTTGATATCTTCTCTTCTATAACCTGCTCAGAGCCCAGATCTCAATCTAATTAAGCATTTGTAAGATCATCTTGGAAGAAAATTGCATTAACACAAATTCATATCAAAAAATAAGAGAGAATTAGCTTCTGTTTTGAAGGAGGAGTGGTTGAAAATTGAGGAAAGCATTTTAGAAAATTTAGTAAATAGCATGTCTTGAAGAGTTGAGACTGTAATTAATAGCAGAGAAAATCTCACAATGTATTAATTCTATAAATAAAAAGTTCATAACAAGAGGATTTCAAAAAATAAATTTTATTAAAAGTTATTAATATAGTTTCTGAACAAACTTAATTTAAATGTTTAATAAAATTTTCAAAATAATACTGATCATCAAAAGTGATGAATACTTTTGGTAGGGAGATGTGTATAT